TCCTTCCTTCCTTCCTTCCTTCCTTCCTTCCTTCCTTCCTTCCTTCCTTCCTTCCTTCCTACCTTCCTTCCTTCCTTCCTTCCTTCCCTCCCTCCCTCCCTCCCTCCCTCCCTCTCTCCCTCTCTCCCTCAAGGTCATAGCTGATCTGTCCTGACTATATAGTGCACATTGGGACAGAAACCTCGATTCCATTTATCCACTTTTACATTTACATTTTAGTCATTTAGCAGACGTTCTTATCCAGAGCGACTTACAGTTAGTGAGTGCATACATTTTCATACACTTCTTGACAGAACAGTGATTTCCACAGAAGAAGGAGTGATGCATCATTTATGTATCCAGGCAGCACAGCCAGAGGAAGCGTGGACCAAAGTTTGATGGACGACAACTCTTTGTTTCAGCTCGCTCACACAACGGGTGTCATCTACATCACAAGTCCCTCAGAACTCATTAGCCTCCGATGCTACGTGGTGTAGCGCCGTCTGCTAGCATTCAGCCATCAATCATCAGTCAGACGAACTAGCCGTATGCTAACGCTAGCTCCATTACGACTGACAACAGGGTACTCCCACACTGTCTGGCTCAGTCTTTAGCATGGACACATCACATATTACCTGTGTCTGCTTCACCAGTAGGCTTCCTAGCAAAAGACTGAGGAGAGATCTAACGCCTAATATCTGTGGATGGTAGTTATTATATTTTGTATAAATGTTTTTATTTATACACAAGCACCTACAGTACATCTTTATATTCATGGTAACTGAACATTCACTACCAATGTGTAGTATGTTCACATGCACTATCGGTCAAAAGTTTTAGAACACCTACACATTCAAGAGTTTTTCTTACTTTTTACTATTTTCTACATTGTAGAATAATAGTGAAGACATCAAAACTATGAAATAACACATATGGAATCATGTAGTAACCAAAAAAGTGTTAAACAAATAAAAATATATTGTATATTTGAGATTCTTCAAATAGCCCCCCTTTGCCTTGATGACAGCTTTGCACACTCTTGGCATTCTCTCAACCAGCTTCACCTGGAATGCTTTTCCAACAGTCTTGAAGGAGTTCCCACATATGCTGAGCAATTGTTGGCTGCTTTTCCTTCACTCTGCGGTCCGACTCATCCCAAACCATCTCAATTTGGTTGAGGTCCGGGGATTATGGAGGCAAGGTCATCTAACGCAGCACCCCATCACTCTCCTTCTTGATAAAATAGCGCTTACACAGCCTGGAGGTGTGTTGGGTCATTGTCCTGTTGAAAAAAAAATGATAGTCCCAAACCAGATGGGATGGCGTATCGCTGCAGAATGCTGTGGTAGCCATGCTGGTTAAGTGTGCCTTGAATTCTAAATAAATCACAGATAGTGCCACCAGCAAAGCACCCACACACCATAACACCTCCTCCTCCATGCTTTACGGTGGGAAATACACATGCGGCGATCATCCGTTCACCCACACCGCGTCTCACAAAGACACAGCGGTTAGAACCAAAAATCTCACATTTGGACTCCACCACCCAAGCAAGTCTCTTCTTCTTATTGGTGTCCTTTAGTAGTGGTTTCTTTGCAGCAATTCGACCATGAAGGCCTGATTCACACAGTCTCCTCTGAACAGTTGATGTTGAGATGTGTCTGTTACTTGAACTCTGTGAAGCATTTATTTGGCCTGCAATTACTGAGGCTGGTAACTCCAATGAACTTGTCCTCTGCTGCAGAGGTAACTCTGGGTCTTCCATTCCTGTGGCGGTCCTCATGAGAGCCAGTTTCAATATAGCGCTTGATGGTTTTTGCGACTGCACTTGAAGAAACTTTCAAAGTTCTTGAAATGTTCCATATTGACTGACCTTCATGTCTTAAAATAATGATGGACTGTAGTTTCTCTTTGCTTATTTGAGCTGTTCTTGCCATAATATGGACTTGGTCTTTTACCAAATAGGGATACCTTCTGTATACCCCCTCTACCTTGTCACAACACAACTGATTGGTTCAAACACATTAATAAGGAAAGAAATTCCACAAATTAACTTTTAAGAAGGCACACCTGTTAATTGAAATGCATTCCAGGTGACTACCTCATGAAGCTGGTTGAGAGAATGCCAAGATTGTGCAAAACTGTCATCAAGGCAAAGGGTGTCTATTTGAAGTTACTACATGATTCCGTATGTTATTATATGATTCTACAATGTAGAAAATAGTAAAAATAAAGAAAAACCCTTGAATGAGAAGGTGTTCTAATACTTTTGACCGGTAGTGTATGTGTGATGCTAGGCAGCCATTTTGAGCCACACAACTAAAACATTGTGTCATAGAAGTGAGGAATTACTAAAATTAGCTGCCCTGAGTACTCAAGAAAGATAAATACTTGAGAAAATGTGCTGTAGAATATCAAGTGTTCAACAAAACTCTGGTGAAGAGAACCACTAAACGACCAGGGGAAGGACAGTCCTTGGTATCGGCTGGACTTTCTGCCCTCCTTCATCTTAATCAACAGGACACACACACACACACGCACACATACACACACACACACACGCACGCTCACTCACTCACTCACTCACTCACTCACTCACTCACTCACTCACTCACTCACTCACTCACTCACTCACTCACTCACTCACTCACTCACTCACTCACTCACTCACTCACTCACTCACTCACTCACTCACTCACTCACTGTATGGGCAGTTGGGACCAGATGTCTTCACAGTGAGGACAAGGCCCAGTACTGGGATCTCAACACACCCCTCCGCCTCCCCCCTCAGCCTCTCCCCTCCCTCAACATCTGTCGCTACTTCAGCATCTGGGCCTTGGCTTCCTGGCCAAAGTCCCCCCCCCCGCAGCTGCAGGGTATGACTCGCATATGCACACAGGCGCACACACACTCACACACACTTGGCCAAGGTCTTCTACCCCCAACAGCTGCAGACCACAAGATTACCAAGAAATCCCAGAGAAAGTGGAGAAGACTTTCTGTGTGAGTGTGTGGCTTTATGTGTGTGTATGTGTGTGCACGCGTGTGTGTGTATTTGTGTGGGTACAGGTCTATGTTTGTGCCAGGATTTAGTTAGTCTTACATCTCTAGTATACGCAGTGTATGTCCTACACAATGCCCTACCACAGGGGTCTAGACCATAGCTGTTCTCTCTCTGTAGGAATCTGAGGTTTCAATGGAGAATCAGCATGTTGATTCTCAGCAGGAGAAATTCAAAAAGTTCCTACTGACATTGGATAGCTTCCTATCCTGTCTCCTCTCTACATCTCTATGGAACACAGCTGATATGATATGGGAGAGAGAGAGAGAGAGAGAGAGAGAGAGAGAGAGAGAGAGAGAGAGAGAGAGAGAGAGAGAGGAAGACAGAGAAGTAGAGTGCAGAGAGACAGCGAGACAGAGAGAGAAAGCAAGAACAGCGAGATAGAGAGAGAGAGAGAGAGAGAGAGAGAGAGATACAGAGAGAGATACAGAGAGAGAGACAGATACAGACAGACAGAGAGAAAGAAGATGTACTGTAATACTGAGGCTATGACACATCATTATGAGGCTATGACACATCATTGTAAGGCTAATATACATCATTATGAGGCTATGACACATCACTATCAGGCTATGACACATCATTATCAGGCTATGACACATCATTATCAGGCTATGACACATAATTATCAGGCTATGACATCATTATCAGGCTATGACACATCATTCTCAGGCTTTGAAACATCATTATCAGGCTATGACACATCATTATCACGCTATGACACATCATTATCAGGCTATGACACATCATTATCAGGCTATGACACATCATTATCAGGCTATGACACATCATTATCAGGCTATGACACATCATTATCAGGCTATGACACATCATTATCAGGCTATGACATCATTATCAGGCTATGACACATCATTCTCAGGCTTTGAAACATCATTATCAGGCTATGACACATCATTATCACGCTATGACACATCATTATCAGGCTATGACACATCATTATCAGGCTATGACACATCATTATCAGGCTATGACACATCACTATCAGGCTATGACACATCATTATCAGGCTATGTCATAATAGGGCAATGACTGCTCTCCTACTACCTCTGAGCTTTGGTTCTATGATGGGTTAAAGCACATAATAGCTGGTCTACATTGTAACTGGTATATGTAGTGTTATGACTAGACTATGTACAGGGTTGGGTAGTAACGGATTACATGTATTGAACTGAAGAAGTTTAAGCTGCCCATAAATCATTGTTTTGCGACCAGTGGACAGCCAGTGAAAAATGCGCTCTTGCAACAGCTGCATAGTGTGGATCCCCAGCCTAAGGAAAAAAGTTTGAGGGCGTTCCTCCCTTCTAAACTCCTCCTTGGTAACAAGGTTAATTTAAGAAGACCACCAGTGGGGCTTTTATTGCTCAATCTAATTTGTCCATTGGCCTAATGGACACATGCTCAAACTCCCACATCTTTGATAGACTTAAACAGCTTCAAGTTATCAAGATATCAAAGTGTCACCAACAAAAACATAAACAATAGCCGCATATGGCATACATTTTTCACATGTAAATAGTTAATTGGAATGACTGGAAATCATACAGACTTTGGTTTTTAATGTAAAGCTATAGCCTAATCAGATCATTATCTGTAGTAGAAAGCAATGGGTTAGTAGAAGCCTACATAACCAACCCATAAAGTAAAATGCAACATCCATTTATGGCCAGCTATGTAAACTCTAACATTGATTTATCTTGCAATAGATGTTGTTTAATGGCTGATATTCATTTGTGTCTTTTTCTAATGCCTCGAGGGGAAAGTAATCTAAAAGTAACTGAAAGTAATCAGACTACGCTACTGAGTTTAGGTAATCCAAAAGTTACGTTACTGATTACAATTTTGGACAGGTAACTAGTAACTAACAGATTACATTTAGAAAGTAACCTACCCAAAAATGTCTACGTAGGATTATAACCAGGCTATGTCATGTTATACTTACGTTGAGCAGCGGGGACAGCTCCACCACCACCATGGGTTCACTGGGTTTGGGTTCTGGTCGGACCGTCACCGTCAGAATCTTCGAGTTGATCACAGCAGGGGCTCTGAAAAAAAGAGAGACAGAGAGAATGGAATGAGTCTGGTTAAAAATCCAAAAAGAGCAAGATCGCAGGGTTGAGTGGGGTGGAGGGGGTAAGGTTGGATGTTGTGTGTGTGTGTGTGCATGTGTGTGTGTGCGTGTCAGCAAGCCTCAATAGCAGGAACATGGTACCCGCCTGACCCCCCTGGAGCATTTGGGAGGCTTCTGAGGGTGCTCTCTTAAAGCTAATGAGACACAGAAACCCAAAGCAACCCAGAGCAAAGCCCTAAACAAACACACAGTCCTCAACATATTAGCATTCAACAGACGACCGCCCCACAACTAGCCCCACAACACTACCATAGGCCTCTACACAGAACCTAGTATGCATCCCAAATGGCACTCTATCGGGCCCTGGTCAAAAGTAGTGCTCTACAAAGGGAAAAGGGTGCCATTTGGGATGTAGACCCTAGTTAGCCACACATGGACAGGAGCCCAGACCTGGATAATAGCACCAGGAGACAGGAGCCCTGACCTGGATAATAGCACCAGGAGACAGGAGCCCTGACCTGGATAATAGCACCAGGAGACAGGAGCCCTGACCTGGATATTAGCACCAGGACCGTAGAGAAACAACATATGGAGAAAGAGAAGGAAAGGAGGGATAGAGGGAGGGGGGTAAAAATCTACGGAGAAAATAACCAATAGAGGGGGAAGGTTGAAAATAAAAGGGAGATGATTCTCTTGTCATTGTTAATGGATATCATTAGGTCTCTTTAGGACTTAAAGTGTATCACTCGGTAACTAATCCTAATAGCCAAGCCATGACATGGAAAGGCCTGACACCAAAGCACTACCATCAGCATGTAGCTCAGTTGGTAGAGCATGGCGCTTGCAACGCCAGGGTTGTGGGTTCGTTTCCCACGGGGGACCAGTACGAAAATGTATGCACTCACTAACTGTAAGTCGCTCTGGATAAGAGCGTCTGCTAAATGACTAAAATGTAAATGTAACCATAGAGTTATGATGGATCATTCTGATTGGGATAGATAAGTGCTCCTTAAAAATTGGGTTTAGTTGGGAAATTACCAGGAAAAGGTGGGGAATTCCAGGAAAGTGCTAAATGAAACGATGAAACGCAGTAGGATGGTCAAAAGTAGTGCCCTATAAAGGGGAAAGGGTGCCATTTGTGATGCAGACATGATGATGGAAGAGGAAGAACACTCACCTGGGGGCAGGTAGGATGACTCCTAAGGTCCGATACAGGATGGCTCCGATGACAAAATATGAAGTCTGTGTTTCTGTTTCTGAAAAACACAAACACAATACACATGTAACACTACACACAGCAGACAACCTGTAGAGGTCGAGGGATAAAGGTTCACCAACCAGCTGAGAGGAGCTGAGAGCCAATAGATAGAGAATTACATTTAGAGGTAGACAGAAGTGAAAAGATAAAAAACTCTCTTGTACTGAACTCAGAAGTCCATATAGACTTCCTCACACCATCTCTTCCCTTTTTCAACTCCTTCTTTGATTCGTCTTTTCAGAACTTTTCTAACAATTTTTGTTTGTTCCCTCCCTTCCTCCCTCCATACCCTTTTCACCTCTTCGTCCCTTTCAACAGGCCAAAGAGTCTCTTGCTCCTCTGTGCTTCCTCTGATTTCCCCCTCTCTTTCTCTCCCTTCACCCCTCCCTCCCCAGAGCAGTGTCTCTGAGAGAACAGCTGGATCCCATAGAGAGGCGGTGTCCCTATGTAAATGTCACCCTGTCTGGAGGGAGGGACGAAGGGAGGAAGAGGGGAAGGATGAAGGAGGAAGGGGAGGAGGGAAGGAGAGAGGGAGATAGCTTAGTCTGAGAGATGAGTCTCCCCACCTCTTTCTTCCTCCCTGGCCCCTTTCAGCTGAGGAGAAGAGCAGAGAGATGGAGGAAGTAGAAAGGAGGAGAAAGGAGGGAATATGCTCTCATCAAGCACATGGGGTGAGTCATCCAAAATCTAACACACAGAGCATAACAGAATAAGATAGAGAGAGAGTAGAGAGATAGAGAGAGAGGAGAGAGGAGAGAGAGAGAGAGAGAGAGACGCGAGATAGAGAGAGATCTAGTCTACGAGCGATAGAGAGCGAGACTAATCCGAAACGATAGAGAGCGAGAAGTCATCTCTATCCGCATCTACTTCGAGATCCATTACATTTATGCCCCTTTGAAGAACCCCCTCCTCCCATCAGATTAACCCTACCGCCACAAAAGAATTGAAAAAAACAAATCCATTTGGATAAACCTCCCCATAATCTATTGGGTGAAATACCACAGTGGTGCCCATCACATCATGCAAGATTTGTTGACCTGTGTTGCCACAGAGAAAAGTGCGACCAGTGAAAGAAAACAAACACCATTGTAAATAATAACCCTATATTTATGTTTATTTATTTTTCCTTTTTGTACTTTAACCTATTTGCACATCATTATAACACGGGATATAACCTAAGATGACATTTTAAATATGTTTATTCTTTTGGAAGATTTGTGATTTAAATGTTTACTGTAATTTGTCTATTGTTTATTTTAAACTTTTGTTTATTATCTATTTATTGCTTTGGCATTAAACATATTTTTTCCCAAGCGCCAATAAAGAGCCCTTAATTTACTTAATTGATTGAATTGATATACATAGATAAAGAGAGGTAGAGAGAGAGAGAGAGAGAGAGGAAAGAGAGATATCGAGAGAGAGATAGAAAGTGAGGGGAGATAGACAGGAGATAGAAGCAGGAAGAGAGAGAGAAATAGAGAGAGACGAAAGCGAGAGAATCTGAGATGAGAGAGATAGATAGAGAGAGAGAGAGAGAGGAAGATGACTACGACGATGGAGAGCAGTCACTGTGATGGATCCTAATTGAAGGTAGTGTGCATTAACATGCAGATAGATGCCCACTGCATTGTGGGTAAAACTGTCTGGGTGGAAGCGAGGGGTGACACTCCTACATTTAATCAGACCAAAAACTCATTACCAGGGATGGGCATACATTACAAATTATAATTACAAAATAAAACTACAAAATACCCTAAAGACAAATGTATCTAAATAAAATATAAGATAATTTTGCAAAGTATTGTATTTAATTAAAATACATCTATTTTGTATTTTAAAATACAAAAATACATTTGCAAGTTGCCAGCCGAACAGCAACAACATTCTCAGTAAAGGTTACAGAAACTTCTTACTCGCTATAACTGTGATATGTTGTTGTTCATCTACCTTAGTTGAACGCACTGTCACTCTGCTAAATTACCAAAATGTAAATGTATATGTGAAAATGAACAACTGCAAAGCACATTGGGTATTGTCATTGGCCTTGTTTTGGGGCGGAGCTCATTAGAGTAATACTTTTTACATCTACATTTACATTTAGGTTATTTAGCAGATACTCTTATCACACCATAGTGCCATCAGACTTTTGATAGCAATGTAGGGTGAAAGGGGGCCACAAAATTGTGAACCGCAGTAGCAATACAAGGATATAACATTTACCAAAGAGACCGGAATGCCTATGGAGGAGGTGTTGCTGTATACAGTGGGGGAAAAAAGTATTTAGTCAGCCACCAATTGCGCAAGTTCTCCCACTTAAAGAGAGGCCTGTAATTTTCATCATAGGTACATGTCATATATGACAGACAAAATGAGGGAAAAAAATCCAGAAAATCACATTGTAGGATTTTTTATAAATTAATTTGCAGATTATGGTGGAAAATAAGTATTTGGTCAATAACAAACGTTTCTCAATACTTTGTTATATACCCTTTGTTGGCAATGACACAGGTCAAACGTTTTCTGTAAGTCTTCACAAGGTTTTCACACACTGTTGCTGGTATTTTGGCCCATTCCTCCATGCAGATCTCCTCTACAGCAGTGATATTTTGGGGCTGTCGCTGGGCAACACGGACTTTCAACTCCCTCCAAAGATTTTCTATGGGGTTGAGATCTGGAGACTGGCTAGGCCACTCCAGGACCTTGAAATGCTTCTTACGAAGCCACTCCTTCGTTGCCCGGGCGGTGTGTTTGGGATCATTGTCATGCTGAAAGACCCAGCCACATTTCATCTTCAATGCCCTTGCTGATGGAAGGAGGTTTTCACTCAAAATCTCACGATACATGGCCCCATTCATTCTTTCCTTTACACGGATCAGTCGTCCTGGTCCCTTTGCAGAAAAACAGCCCCAAAGCATGATGTTTCCACCCCCATGCTTCACAGTAGGTATGGTGTTCTTTGGATGCAACTCAGCATTCTTTGTCCACCAAACACGACAAGTTGAGTTTTTACCAAAAAGTTATATTTTGGTTTCATCTGACCATATGACATTCTCCCAATCCTCTTCTGGATCATCCAAATGCACTCTAGCAAACTTCAGACGGGCCTGGACATGTACTGGCTTAAGCAAGGGGACACGTCTGGCACTGCAGGATTTGAGTCCCTGGCGGCGTAGTGTGTTACTGATGGTAGGCTTTGTTACTTTGGTCCCAGCTCTCTGCAGGTCATTCACTAGGTCCCCCCGTGTGGTTCTGGGATTTTTGCTCACCGTTCTTGTGATCATTTTGACCCCACGGGGTGAGATCTAGCCCCAGATCGAGGGAGATTATCAGTGGTCTTGTATGACTTCCATTTCCTAATAATTGCTCCCACAGTTGATTTCTTCAAACCAAGCTGCTTACCTATTGCAGATTCAGTCTTCCCAGCCTGGTGCAGGTCTACAATTTTGTTTCTGGTGTCCTTGGCCATAGTGGAGTTTGGAGTGTGATTGTTTGAGGTTGTGGACAGGTGTCTTTTATACTGATAACAAGTTCAAACAGGTGCCATTAATACAGGTAACGAGTGGAGGACAGAGGAGCCTCTTAAAGAAGAAGTTACAGGTCTGTGAGAGCCAGAAATCTTGCTTGTTTGTAGGTGACCAAATACTTATTTTCCACCATAATTTGCAAATAAATTCATTAAAAATCCTACAATGTGATTTTCTGGATTTTTTTTTCTAAATTTGTCTGTCATAGTTGACGTGTACCTATGATGAAAATTACAGGCCTCTCTCATCTTTCTAAGTTGGAGAACTTGCATAATTGGTGGCTGACTAAATACTTTTTTCCCCCACTGTATATTCACAGTCATATACCTGTAATGCTTAGAAAAGATCACATGTCAAGTATTATTGAAGTGTTATGGTTGCAGGTTCACCTGCCTCATCTAAAGCTTATTCTTTTGGGGTGTTGCTATAGGCCACCAAGTGCTAAAAGTCAGGATCTAGATAATGTGTGTGAAATGCTTGATAGTGTATGTCGCATGTGTCAAACTCATTCCATGGAGGGCAGAGTGTCTGCGAGTTTTCGCTCCTCCGTTGTACTTCATTGATTAATTAAGGTCACTAATTAGTAAGGAACTCCCCTCACCTGATTGTCTAGGTCTTAATTGAAAGGAAAAACCAAAAACCTGCAGGCACTAGGCCCTCCATGGAATGAGTTTGACACCCCTGGTGTATGTAAACAAAGAGGTCTACTTTCGTGGGGACCTGAATATTGACTGGTTTTCATCAAGCTGTCCGCTCAAGAGGAAGCTTATCACTGTAAACAGTGCCTGTAATCTGGTTCAGGTTATTAATCAACCTACCAGGGTGTTTGCAAACACTACAGGAACTATACTATATCATCCACATGTATTGATCACATTTGTACAAATTCTGTAGAACTGTGTTCTAAGGCTGTATTCATAACCATTGGATAAAGTGATCACAATATACTGTCGTGGTTATAACCAGGAAAGCCAAGGTTCTAAAAGCTGGGCCTAAAATAGTGTATAAGAGATAATACAAAAGATTTTGCTGTGACTCTTATGTGGATGATGTTAAAGATATTTGTTGGTCTGATGTGATTAATGAGGAGCATCCAGACGCTGCACTTGATTCATTTATGAAATTGCTTCTTCCAATTATTGATAAACATGCACCTGTTAAGAAACTGATTGTTAGAACTGTTAAGGCTCCATGGATTGCTGAGGAATTGAAAAACTGAATGGTTGAAAGAGATGTGGCAAAAGGAGTGGCTAATAAGTCTGGCTGCACATCTGACTGGCTGACTTACTGCAAATTTAGAAATGATGTGACTAAACTCAACAAAAAGAAGAATAAACTGTAGGAAGCCAAGATCAATGATATAAAGAATGATGAGAAAAAACTACTTTGGACTTTAAATGAAATTATGGCAGAAAGACACATTCATCTCCATCTTTCATCGAATCAGATGTCTTATTCATCACAAAACCATTTGATGATGCCAATTATTTTAATGATTACTTCATTGGCAAAGTGGGCAAAGTTTGGCAGGAAATGCCAACAACGAACAGCGAGCCATTGTATTCATGAGAAAAAAAATAATAATCATGAAAGAAAAGCATTGTAAGTTAGAATTTTGTAAAGTTAGTGTGGGAGAGGTGGAAAAACTATTGCTATCAATCAATAATGACAAACCTCCTGGCATTGACAACTTAGATTGGATAACTACTGAGGATGGTAGCTGACTCTATAGCAACTCCTATCTGTCATATCTGTGTTATAGTGCTATGTATAAATTAATAAACCATGTAATGTATTTATTTCTTTATTACACCCTGAACTTCTGTCATTGGATCATTCTATTTTACGAGGTTGAATGTGAGTGTGTGTGTGTGTGTATGTTTGTATGTGTGTGTGTGTGTGTGTGTGTGTGTGTGTGCGCACTTGCACTCTGTCTGTGCTACAGCAAGTCTTGATCCTATTGAGCCCATCAGTGGGACTGTCTGTGGGAGAATGGCTTTGATAACAGGTGTAATGAACCAAACATTTTGATAAACATCAGACCACTGGTCACAATGAGCTCTCTGCACCGCCAATGAATGGAGCCACTCTGACCTCTTACCACCAGCGTCATTCTCTTGCTATCACTCTGACTATAGAAGAAGAGACAGAGGGAGAGAAAGGCCCTGTCAGAGAGGGTGAGGCAGATCGAGAGATAGAGAAAGTGATAGAGAGAGAAAGGGAGGGAGAGAGGGATATAGATGGTGAGAGGGGAAGATAAATAGAGAGAGAGAGGGAGAGAGAGAGGAGCTGTGTCCTCAGAGCCAGACAGAGACCCCAGACACTGCTGACACCATTGTAACCTTTCATGGGGATGGCAGGGGGCACACAGGAAGTCAGTGTGTGCATATGTGTGTGTGTTTGGTGTGTGTGTTTGTAATTTCCTGTGGGGCATGTGTTATTCTGAGGGGGCAGAGGACAGGATCAGAAACAGATATATACTCATCTCTTTCTCTATGTCTGTCTCTCTATCTGTCTCTATATATATTTTTCTATCCATTTCTAACTCAATTCCTCCCCAAAATCTCTGCTTTCCCCCTGTGTCTACCACTGTGCAAGGGAATACAGATTGATTGTGAGCAGTGTAGATCCATTTCAAAAGGGGTTCAAAGTAGGACGGGAGACAATTGTTCCCTGTTATGGTAGTATAATGATTGATTTGGGTTAAAAGCTTGAAGGATTCTAGCCTTGAAACCCCCTTATGACTGATAATCTTATCTCTGACATGGTCATGACCTAGAACTTTGTACAGATGATCAGGCTTGTTACTTTCTCTTGCTGTTTAGAGATTATATAAGAAAGTGTGTGTTTTGAGGACTTCTGACATAACATACTCTAAAGCCCTATTTGCACGGGACTAGAATTACTACTGATCGTCAGTTACCTAATTATTACCCCAGCATGTCTGTTTTTCCAGAGAAAGATTCGGACAGGATAAGTTATACCAAACTGCCCCCTGTATTTTTATTTTTATTCATCTGAAGTTTACATGCATAGCACTTTGTTTTAATCATGAACTTGTTCCCATTTTCTCACTCAAACTGGGTGCAGTACCTGTTAAACTCTGTAATACCTCTCAAAACACAGGGATGTCAATTTGCACAAGATACAGTGGGGAAAAAAAGTATTTAGTCAGCCACCAATTGTGCAAGTTCTCCCACTTAAAAAGATGAGAGAGGCCTGTAATTTTCATCATAGGTACACGTCAACTATGACAGACAAATTGAGGGAAAAAAATCCAGAAAATCACATTGTAGGATTTTTTATGAATTTATTTGCAAATTATGGTGGAAAATAAGTATTTGGTCACCTACAAAGAAGCAAGATTTCTGGCTCTCACAGACCTGTAACTTCTTCTTTAAGAGGCTCCTCTGTCCTCCACTCGTTACCTGTATTAATGGCACCTGTTTGAACTTGTTAACAGTATAAAAGACACCTGTCCACAACCTCAAACAGTCACACTCCAAACTCCACTATGGCCAAGACCAAAGAGCTGTCAAAGGAGACCAGAAACAAAATTGTAGACCTGCACCAGGCTGGGAAGACTGAATCTGCAATAGGTAAGCAGCTTGGTTTGAAGAAATCAACTGTGGGAGCAATTATTAGGAAATGGAAGACATACAAGACCACTGATAATCTCCCTCGATCTGGGGCTCCACGCAAGATCTCACCCCGTGGGGTCAAAATGATCACAAGAACGGTGAGCAAAAATCCCAGAACCACACAGGGGGACCTAGTGAATGACTTGCAGAGAGCTGGGACCAAAGTAACAAAGCCTACCATCAGTAACACACTACGCCGCCAGGGACTCAAATCCTGCAGTGCCAGACTTGTCCCCCTGCTTAAGCCAGTACATGTCCAGGCCCGTCTGAAGTTTGCTAGAGTGCATTTGGATGATCCAGAAGAGGATTGGGAGAATGTCATATGGTCAGATGAAACCAAAATATAACTTTTTGGTAAAAACTCAACTCGTCGTGTTTGGAGGACAAAGAATGCTGAGTTGCATCCAAAGAACACCATACCTACTGTGAAGCATGGGGGTGGAAACATCATGCTTTGGGGCTGTTTTTTCTGCAAAGGGACCAGGACGACTGATCCGTGTAAAGGAAAGAATGAATGGGGTCATGTATCATGAGATTTTGAGTGAAAACCTCCTTCCATCAGCAAGGGCATTGAAGATGAAATGTGGCTGGGTCTTTCAGCATGACAATGATCCCAAACACACCGCCCGGGCAACGAAGGAGTGGCTTCGTAAGAAGCATTTCAAGGTCCTGGAGTGGCCTAGCCAGTCTCCAGATCTCAACCCCATAGAAAATCTTTGGAGGGAGTTGAAAGTCTGTGTTGCCCAGCGACAGCCCCAAAACATCACTGCTCTAGAGGAGATCTGCATGGAGGAATGGGCCAAAATACCAGCAACAATGTGTGAAAACCTTGTGAAGATTTACAGAAAACGTTTGACCTGTGTCATTGCCAACAAAGGGTATATAACAAAGTATTGAGAAACTTTTGTTATTGACCAAATACTTATTTTCCACCATATTTTGCAAATAAATTCATTAAAAATCCTACAATGTGATTTTCTGGATATTTTTTTCTCATTTTGTCTGTCATAGTTGACGTGTACCTACGATGAAAATTACAGGCCTCTCTCATCTTTTTAAGTGGGAGAACTTGCACAATTGGTGGCTGACTAAATTATTTTTTTCCCCACTGTAAGTATTATCAGAGGACCTGGGAGTTTCCTGAAAAACAGAATGTTTTTAGGGCTGGGATAATATCCTTCCCGCCAAGAATAAATATTGACATGGCAGATTCGGATGGGATTAATATTACGAATGACCTGACCTAAATCCTGTCCGAACAGGGTTTAGGACCACCTGTATTACTCTTCACACATCTTGTGAGGACATCTTGACATAAGTGTGGTGAGGTCAGGGAGAGTCTTTAGAGGATGTTTAAAGACATCTTTTATTATGAGGAGTGTGATTATGATGATGATGTAGACGACACCAATGATGCTGCTGATGATGGCGATGTTGATGATGGCAATAATCCTGATGAGGACGACGATGATGATCTCTCACCATCAGAGGTGAGGGTGAAGACCTCTTTGGGGATGTAGAGTTTGTCTTCAGCGGATCGAGCCCAGTCCTTCATGCCTCTCCTACCCTTCATGGGGAAGTTGATGTCACTGGACACCGCTGTCACAGGCTCTCGCTGTATCGTTATCACTATGGAGACAAAACAAATCGTTATCACTATGGAGACAAAACATATCATTACCACCATGGATACAAATACAAAACATGAGTTGACGTACAACCATAATAGGTAGAGAGGTGCTGACTAAAGGAAAGGCAAATGATGTGACAAAATAATTAAGAATAGAGTTATTAACTTATGATTAGTGACAATTGGGAGCGTTGAGGATAGGGTTGAACAATTATGGAAAGTTAGGGGAATTTTGCAACACTACCTGTGAGTGTTAAACTGACTACTCACTGAGGTTGTTGGTGACCACCAGGAAACTCTGGAAGGGTTTCTGATCATCTCCTATCAGATGGATGAAGTCCTCCAAGATACGCATGAGATGGGCTGCACCAGGAGAAACCTGGGAAGGGGGCGAGAAGAAGGGAGGGAGAGAGAGAAAGATGGTGGGAGGGAGAGAGAGAGAAATGGGGAGGGAGAGAGAGAGAGAGAGAGAGAGAGAGAAGGGGGGAGGGAGCAAGAGAGAAAGAGAAAGAAGGGGGAGGGAGGGAGAGAGAGAGAGAAGGGGGGAGGAGGGTAAGAGAAGGAAGAGTGTGAGAGTGACAGAGAGAGAGAAATATCATGAAAACAACTTTCTTCCATACACAAATATTGAACAATGCACTCTCATTTATCTATTTCGCTCTCTCTCTCTCATTTCATGCACCAAGCTAAGTGTCTCTTCTGTTCCTGTTAAGTTCATGTTGCCTCAAGGAAGTGTCACAAGAAGAAAGAATCACCAACAACCCCACAGCCATTACCACCCAGAGCCTCCATCCTCCCAAACCATTACAACAGTCATTTGCTTGGTCATCTATCCAACCAACCCATTAAATAGTCATTTGCTTGGCCCTCTATCCAACCAACCCATTACAACAGTCATTGGCTTGGTCCTCTATCCAACCAATCCATTAAATAGTCATTGGCTTGGTCCTCTATCCAACCAACCAATTACAACAGTCATTGGCTTGATCCTCTATCCAACCAACCAATTACAACAGTCATTGGCTTGGTCCTCTATCCAACCAACCCATTACAACAGTCATTGGCTTGGTCCTCTATCCAACCAACCAATTACAACATTCATTGGCTTGGCCCTCTATCCAACCAACCCATTTCAACAGTCAATGGCTTGGCCCTCTATCCAACCAACCCATTACAACAGTCATTGGCTTGGTCCTCTATCCAACCAACCCATTACAACAGTCATTGGCTTGGTCCTCTATCCAACCAACCAATTACAACAGTCATTGGCTTGGTCCTCTATCCAACCAACCAATTACAACAGTCATTGGCTTGGCCCTCTATCCAACCAACCCATTTCAACAGTCATTGGCTTGGTCCTCTATCCAACCAACCCATTACAACAGTCATTGGCTTGGTCCTCTATCCAACCAACCCATTACAACAGTCATTGGCTTGGTCCTCTATCCAACCAACCAATTACAACAGTCATTGGCTTGGTCCTCTATCCAACCAACCCATTACAACAGTCATTGGCTTGGTCCTCTATCCAACCAACCCATTACAACAGTCATTGGCTTGGCCCTCTATCCAACCAACCCATTACAACAGTCATTGGCTTGGTCCTCTATCCAACCAACCCATTACAACAGTCATTGGCTTGGCCCTCTATCCAACCAACCCATTACAACAGTCATTGGCTTGGTCCTCTATCCAACCAACCCATTACAACAGTCATTGGCTTGCTCGTACTGGTTAGCCAGTTAATTAGCAGATGTGGGACATAATGCCTTTTAATGTACATCTACTGAGGATGCATCTCAAATGGCTCCGTATTCCCTATATAGTGCACTACTTTTGACCAGAGCTCTATAGGCCCTGGTGAAAAATAGTACACTACATTAGGAGTAGGGTGCCATTTGAGACAAAGCCTATGTTAGTGGTAACAGATGGTATAGTACGTTTATGACTTGATTGTCTGCAGTGGCTTGCTTAGAGCACATCATCTCATTTGATTGTCTGCAGTGGCTTGCTTAGAGCACATCATCTCATTTGATTGTCAAAACACCATAACCTAATTATTGCATTCATATTTCAATGCTGTGCTCTCATTCTTTCCACATTTACATTTTGGTAATTTAGTAGACACTCTTATCCAGAGCATCTTAGTCAGTGCATTGAACTAAGGTAGGTAAAACCTTCCTAAAAAAAGCAGCTATCTTCGTCTGTGTGTGTGTGTGCATATATGTGTGCTGATGTTGTGTGTTTATGTTATGATAATGGATATGTGTTGTAATAATATACACTGAGTGTACAAAACATTATGAACACCTGCTCTTTCCATGACATAGACTGACCAGGTGAATCCAGGTGAAAGCTATGATCCCTTATTGATGTCACCTGTTAAATTCACTTCAATCAGCGTAGATGAAGGGGAGGAGACAGGTTAAAGAAGGATTTGTAAGCCTTGAGACAATTGAGACATGGATTGTGTATGTGTGCCATTCAGAGGGTGAATGGGGAAGACAAAGGATTGAAGTGCCTTTGAACGGGGTATGGTAGTAGGTGCCTGGGGCACCGGTTTGAGTGTGCCAAGAACTGCCACGCTGCTGGGTTTTTCACACTCAATAGTTTGCGGTGTGTTTCAACAATAGTCCACCACCCAAAGGACATCCAGCCAACTTGACACAACTATGGGAAGCATTGGAGTCAACATGGGCCAGCATCCCACCATGTAGAGTCCATGCCCTGACGAATTGAGGCTGTTCTGAGGGCAAATGGGGGTGCAACTCAATTTTAGGAAGGTGTTCCTATTGTTTTGTACACTCAGAGTATGTTTGGGTCATTATGTCCTGTGTCTACGTGTTATTGTTTACTGGCTGCAGATGGCAAATAAACCCAGCCTGACTCAAGGGCATGGAGGAGGGGGTCATATGCATTGTTTATTAACAACAAAATATGAATACACACACACACACACACACACACACTGTCAGTATGTGCACACAGTATGGTGTATGATCCGTCCTGAATGGTGAACAGGTGTGTTTTTACGACTCTTCTCACAATGACAGAAACACTGCAATCAAATTCATCCAACCGTGACAGAGCCAGACACTCTGACGCACATGCACACACACACACACACTAAAATAACAGTTTAAAAGCCTACCCGGTGAGCGTCTTCCCATTTCTCTAGGTTTTCCATGTCCAACATATAGCTGACTACCTGGAAGAATTTCTGAGGAGAGAGAAGAGGGGGAGGGTTGACTTAGTGCTGAGGTATGTGAGTGTGCATGCAACATGTAGGGATGTAGGTGTTTGTTTTGTTTATGTCTGTTACTTCCTGTAAGTGTGTGTATAGCCCACTTCACCCACCAGCACGTCGCCGGGTGTGTGTGTGTCTGTGTGTGTGTGTGCCCTCCCAACACACACGCATGTCGTCGGGAGCTCGGATGTCGGTTGCTCTCTTGAATGTTTGTGTTTATGTGTGTGTGTGTGTGTGTGTGTGTGTGTGTGTGTGTGTGTGTGTGTGTGTGTGTGTGTGTGTGTGTGCGCACACGTTTGTGTGTGTACACCCTCCCCACCCACCTGCGCGTCGTCGGGTACTGGGATGTAGGTTGCTCTCTTGAAGGTGTCCGTCACATTTCGGAGAATCTCCGTGGAGAACAGGAGGTCACCGCTGTAATAGCTCCTCCTCTGTAAGAGCTCCAGGAGATTCCTCACGACCTGAGACATGCCCTCTCCAGCCAGGGTCCTCTGACCCTTCGCAAGATGCTCTCGCAACTGGAGACAGCAGGGGAGGAGGAGAGTGGGGAGAGAAACACAGGTTAGAGAGTGATAGGGGAGGGAGGTATGGGCAGAAAGAGAGGGCAGAAAGATAGAGAGAGGTGGGGTAGAGTGAGAGAGAGATAGAAATATATATATATATATATATATATATATATATATATATATATATATATATATATATATATATATATAGAGAGAGAGAGAGAGAGAGATGGAGGTGAGGTAGAGAGTAGAGAAAGAGAGATGGAGGTGAGGTAGAGAGTAGAGAAAGAGAGATGGAGGTGAGGTAGAGAAAGAGAGATCTGAGACCTCTGAGCCATACAATAGTTAATCTTGCTCCTCTATTGTTGCTTGTGTTCAGCAGATCTTGTAGGTAGGTATGTAGATAGTGAATTACATGAATGACCAGAACCTTGGTCAAGTACCTATCCCTCAGCCTTTACTCTTCATTAAGGACTTTTGCAGACATAAATGCACTGGATAGATATCGGTTACTATTTGTATTTCACAATGCTGCATGGCACTGAAATCCGCACACACATAAACATACGCACACACATAAACATACGCACACACACACACACACACAGAGAGAGAGACAACGGTAGTCCTCAGTCACAACAGCAATCAAACCTAATGAACCACATCCCCATGCTAATGAAAGGTTAGCAGTTAGCGCAGGCCTAGGCTAACAGTGCAATCAACCAATCACAGCACATCTAATGGACCCCCCCCCCCCCCCCCCCAACCCCCGCTGGCTTCAATTATCGCCACGGAGACAGGAAGTCAGAGGTCACGCAGCAGGAAGTCAGCCAATGATTAACCAACGCATTCATTAATCAATGGATAAATGGAAAAACTCATTAGAGAAAGAGAGTGGTGACAATGCCATTAATTTTCATAGAAAGTTAATCAGGGCCAGTATTTATAAACCATCTCCGAGTAGGAGTGCTGATCTAGGATCAGGTCCCACCTGTTCATGTAATCGTATTCATTATTATTTAAACGCCAAAATTGATCCTATCAGCACTCATATTCTTAATAAACTTTATGAATACAATCCCACGTCTATTGTTGCGTAAACAAGTAGGATGTGGGAGGACAAATCATTATTTTATTCCATTGCTAAGCCAGGTCAGTCTTTGAGGACAAATTGTATATTAATGATCTGTTTTGCTATTGAGTTTATTCATGCTGCAGGCTGGGCTAGAAGAGGATGGTTGTTAATAGTTTGGAAATAGCCACGGAAATATTGAGGAAGTGGAAGACAGGCTAAAATGGCTACATAAGGTACATGTACATTTCAAATGGCTTAGCTATGAACCGGCAACTTTCTGAAAATCCTCTGTGTTTTATTATGTACTGTCTTAACAGAAGGTACCATAAAACACTCATTCTCAAATAACCGCCTGTCCTTTTTAATAGCCGGGCAACGCCACACATTTCAGCAAATAAACCCATGTTTCAAACAAACGCTGGGTCTAAATAAATGCTTTATTAGGTTACCATTAATTACCATGAATTGTTTATGAGGTTTAATGTTTGATTTGTTGCATTAAGTAATTCACTAATGATTTGAAGAAATTATGGCAGTCATCCATTTTCATCCAAGAGCCTTGGCGTGACCCTGGACAACACCCTGTCGTTCTCCGCTAACATCAAGGCGGTGACCCGATCCTGTAGGTTCATGCTCTACAACATTCGGAGAGTACGACCCTGCCTTACACAGGAAGCAGCACAGGTCCTAATCCAGGCACTTGTCATCTCCCGTCTGGATTACTGCAACTCGCTGTTGGCTGGGCTCCCTGCCTGTGCCATTAAACCCCTACAACTCATCCAGAATGCCGCAGCCCGTCTGGTGTTCAACCTTCCCAAGTTCTCTCACGTCACCCCGCTCCTCCGCACACTCCACTGGCTTCCAGTTGAAGCTCGCATCTGTTACAAGACCATGGTGCTTGCCTATGGAGCTGTGAGGGGAACGGCACCTCCGTACCTTCAGGCTCTGATCAGTCCCTACACCCAAACGAGGGCACTGCGTTCATCCACCTCTGGCCTGCTGGCTCCCCTACCTCTGCGGAAGCATAGTTCCCGCTCAGCCCAGTCAAAACTGTTCGCTGCTCTGGCACCCCAATGGTGGAACAAGCTCCCTCACGACGCCAGGACAGCGGAGTCACTCACCACCTTCCGGAGACATTTGAAACCCCACCTCTTTAAGGAATACCTGGGATAGGATAAAGTAATCCTTCTACCCCCCCCCCCCCCCCCCCCCCAAAAAAAAAAAAAAAAACACATTGTAAAGTGGTTATCCCACTGGCTATAAGGTGAATGCACCTATTTGTAAGTCGCTCTGGATAAGAGCGTCTGCTAAATGACGTAAATGTAAATGTAAATAACCAGTAAGATACTGCTAGCCATTAGCTGCTAACAGCTGAGACCTGCTATCTAACTGGTAAGCACAAAAACTATCAATGACTTCGGGAGTAGAGACCCCTAGAAATCGTCCGATCACCCTTTAGAGGCGAAAGTAAGAACTGCCATAAATGCAGTCAAAGAGGTTTAATATGTTTTTAAAGAGGCATACTAAGACAACAAAAATGGACACAGTGTGTACTGCCCTACAAAGGCAAAGTGCAGTAACTACGTAAAACAATTAAGTGCAAAATATGACAACAAAGTATTTTTCTGTTTAGAGAATAGCAATTTCTGGTACTTTGTCTTGTGTCAAGAAACTAAATACCACATTAAACAAATAATATACCTGGCCATTAAAACAGATCAAAGATTTTTGACAAAATTTGTAGTTACTGCACTTTGCCTTTGTAGGTCAGGGTAATTGATAACACATTAGGAAATGTATGAAACGCTGGAAGTGAATGCTGACATTAAACAATTAACTATGCAAATTAGCAAAATATGGCACCTGACACCAGACACCTGGCTCAAATAGAAGCCTGTCTCTAATAAGTGCCTGTTGTGTTCAGTGATTTAAGCAAATAAACGCCCTGGCTATTAATTTAAGTTTTACAGTAGCTTACTAAAAATGCATTCACAATAACATTGCAGCACAGGTGGCTCATTGAGCATGTTATACAATACAAACTGTATTTGAATAAATAAGATGTGAATAGAGAGAGCGTGCAAAAGGGACTTACAGATAAATGTAAATATCTGAATTCCATCGAGACGCATCTGGCGAAGCTCGGAGGACCCCAGTAAGCAACTCCATTAGCGTCCAGCAAACAACGACGACTAGCAGATCCTAGAGAGAGAGAAGGAGGGAGAAAGAGAGGGGGAGGGTGAGAGAGAGAGAGAGAGAGAGAGAGAGAGAGAGAGAGAGAGAGAGAGAGAGAGAGAGAGAGAGAGAGAGTGAGTGAACGAGAACGTGAAGAAGTAAATCCTGACACCAATAGTTCTTTGGTTTTATGTTATCTAATAACTACATACATGCTATTGTCATTTTTCCAACATAGTAAATCATCCATAATGTAGAGCTGAGGTCAACCATCCACCTGACATGATCTAATACAAAACCACTGTGTAAGGTTACAGTATACATGTACACAGTTATTGAGAGAGAAACACAGAAAAAGCATATGGTGAAGCTGAACATTGTCCCCCTGGCTGCCAGTAAGTTATCATATATCAACAGGATATATTTTTTTAAACAGTGCAGTGTGTTGTTATTAGGGCTGAGTGAGTGACTGCCTTAGGACTGTGTCGGAGTAGGCACCTGCTATGACTAAGATATATACTTCTGAACATGAACAGTTTCCAACATCGTAAGTCATGTATAGCTGAGGTCAACCATCCACCTGACAACTACTGTATAAGGTCACATACAGTATACATGTACACAATTATTGAGGCAGGTTTTATGACCTTGTGGCTGTACCAGCTAGTGACTACCCTGCAGAGCTGCCTCCAGTACATGAGTCATCCTAATAAATGCCAACCTGCGTTATTGAGAGGGAAACACAGAAACTGTTGAAAATTCTCCCCCAGGGTACACCTTACTAACTACATTCTCTGGTGGAAACCATTTCATGCAGGATAATAGATTCCTAACACACACAAACACATGTGTGCATGCACGCACACACACACACAGACACAAACTTCAAAGTCCTCATCTGTTAGGCAGTGTGTTGCTGTAGGGTCTGACTGAGTGAGTGCCTGAGGACTGCGTCTGCCTGCTATGACGTATACTTCAGAACATCAATCTATATTACCACAATATTAACCTGGATTTATTCTTCACACACACTTTATGCTATGTCAACCGTACAGCACTCTGTAGGCCTTACAAGTGCCAAAGAAACTTTACAAAGATAAGTACTAGTACTAGTCAGACACTTGCTGTAGGCAGTTAGACTAAATCACTACAGTGTATACTTACATTATAGCTTAGTACAGTGGGGAAAAAAAGTATTTAGTCAGCCACCATTTGTGCAAGTTCTCCCACTTAAAAAGATGAGAGAGGCCTGTAATTTTCATCATAGGTACACGTCAACTATGACAGACAAAATGAGGAAAAAAAATCCAGAAAATCACATTGTAGGATATTTAATGAATTTATTTGCAAATTATGGTGGAAAATAAGTATTTGGTCAATAACAAAAGTTTCTCAATCCTTTGTTATATACCTTTTGTTGGCAATGACACAGGTCAAACGTTTTCTGTAAGTCTTCACAAGGTTTTCACACACTGTTGCTGGTATTTTGGCCCATTCCTCCATGCAGATCTCCTCTAGAGCAGTGATGTTTCGGGGCTGTCGCTGGGCAACACAGACTTTCAACTCCCTCCAAAGATTTTCTATGGGGTTGAGATCTGGAGACTGGCTAGGCCACTCCAGGACCTTGAAATGCTTCTTACGAAGCCACTCCTTCGTTGCCCGGGCGGTGTGTTTGGGATCATTGTCATGCTGAAAGACCCAGCCACGTTTCATCTTCAATGCCCTTGCTGATGGAAGGAGGTTTTCACTCAAAATCTCACGATACATGGCCCCATTCATTCTTTCCTTTACACGGATCAGTCGTCCTGGTCCCTTTGCAGAAAAACAGCCCCAAAGCATGATGTTTCCACCCCCATGCTTCACAGTAGGTATGGTGTTCTTTGGATGCAACTCAGCATTCTTTGTCCACCAAACACGACGAGTTGAGTTTAACAAAAAGTTCTATTTTGGTTTTATCTGACCATATGACATTCTCCCAATCCTCTTCTGGATCATCCAAATGCACTCTAGCAAACTTCAGACGGGCCTGGACATGTACTGGCTTAAGCAGGGGGACACGTCTGGCACTGCAGGATTTGAGTCCCTGGCGGCGTAGTGTGTTACTTATGGTAGGCTTTGTTACTTTGGTCCCAGCTCTCTGCAAGTCATTCACTAGGTCCCCCCGTGTGGTTCTGGGATTTTTGCTCACCGTTCTTGTGATCATTTTGACCCCACGGGGTGAGATCTTGCGTGGAGCCCCAGATTGAGTGAGATTTTCAGTGGTCTTGTATGTCTTCCATTTCCTAATAATTGCTCCCACAGTTGATTTCTTCAAACCAAGCTGCTTACCTATTGCAGATGCAGTCTTCCCAGCCTGGTGCAGGTCTACAATTTTGTTTCTGGTGTCCTTTGACAGCTCTTTGGTCTTGGCCATAGTGGAGTTTGGAGTGTGACTGTTTGAGGTTGTGGACAGGTGTCTTTCATACTGATAACAAGTTCAAACAGGTGCCATTAATACAGGTAACGAGTGGAGGACAGAGGAGCCTCTTAAAGAAGGTCTGTGAGAGCCAGAAATATTGCTTGTTTGTAGGTGACCAAATACTTATTTTCCACCATAATTTGCTAATAAATTCATTACAAATCCTACAATGTGATTTTCTGGAAAAGAAATTCTCAATTTGTCTGTCATAGTTGACGTGTACCTATGATGAAAATTACAGGCCTCTCTAATATTTTTAAGTGGGAGAACTTGCACAATTGGTGGCTGACTAAATACTTTTTTTCCCCACTGTAAGTGTACTATACTACAAGTGAAGCATGGTTTACCAGTGGCGTTAGTCGGACACTTGTTGTAGACTGTTTCTCCAGCCGAGGCACTTTTCCAGGTCATGGCTACAAGGTACTCATCTCTACAGATCTCATGAGGTGCTGCAGAGAGACAGAAGAGAGCGAGAGGGGAGAGTTAGATAGGACAAACACACTCACACACACATTGCAATTTAATGATATCCTGGAACAGCTTCCATTTTTCCAGGCATTTTATTCCCCTATGGCTTCCATTACCTCTACAATATACAGTATATTCATTCATCTTTATCCATCTCTCTCTTTGTTCAAATCTCTTTATCTCCCTCTCTACATAACCCTGAATGGTGAAAAATATTGAAAGATATAACATATTCAGTGTGGATAATAGAGAAAGAGAGAACGAGAGAAAGAGAGGGAAAGGGAGAGAGGGGAGAGAGAGAGAGCGAGAGAAAGATAGAGAGAGAGGGATTGAAGAGGGAGAAAAAAAACAAAGGAGAAGTGAAAAAGATAGCCTTCTTTTTAATCTAAATGTATGTTCCCCTCCAAACTCCTGGACAGATCTTTGAGCCATCAAAGGACTGGCTCTGATAGAATGCTCTGCAGCAATGTCTGACATCTAATCTATAGCCTCCCAGAGCACCACACACGCACAAGGAAACACACACGCACACACACAAGGGGTAAGAGAGTCCCAGTCAAAGTAAATGCGTATTAAACTATGCTGTTTGCTGCAGTAGCTGACACACTGACAAATCACAGCAAACAGGGCTTTGAACAATTCGCCTCTGCCTGAGAGCTGAAAGAGAGAGAGCGAGAGAGAGAGAGAGAGAGAGAGAGAGAGAGAGAGAGAAAAAGAGAGACAGAGAGCGAGAGCAATAGATAGAGAGCGAGAGGGTGGGGGAGAGATATGGAGAGAGAGTGAGAGAGAGGGAGAGAGAGAGGGAGGAAGAGCGAGAAAGAGAGAGACAGAGAGCGAGAGCGATAGATAGAGAGCGAGAGAGAGAGAGAGAGAGAGAGAGAGAGAGGGTGGGGAGAGATATGGAGAGAGAGAGAGAGAGAGCGTGAGAGAGAGAGATAGAGAGAGGGGGAGAGATATATCTAAAAAGTAAATGATTGGAATTAAGAAATATAGAAATATTAGGACAAGCAATGTCGGAGTTCGAGTATGTATGTATGTATGTACAGTGGTGTGAAAAAGTGTTTGCCCCCTTCCTGATTTCTTATTTGTTTGCATGTTTGTCACACTTACATGTTTCAGATCAAGATAACACAAGTCAACACAAAATGCAGTTTTGAAATGAAGGTTGTTAGTATTAAGGGAAAACAAAATCCAAACCGACCTGGCCCTGTGTGAAAAAGTGATTGCCCCCTACAACTTAATAACTGGTTGGGCCACCCTTAGCAGCAACAACTGCAATCAAGCGTTTGCGATAACTTGCAATGAGTCTTTTACAGCGCTGTGGAGGGATTTTGGCCCACTCATCTTTGCAGAATTGTTGCCACATTGGAGGGTTTTCGAGCATGAACTGCCTTTTTAAGGTCATGCCACAGCATCTCAATAGGATTCAGGTCAGGACTTTGACTAGGCCACTCCAAAGTCTTCATTTTGTTTTTCTTCAGCCATTCAGAGGTGGACTTGCTGGTGTGTTTTGGATCATTGTCTGGTGCAGAACCCAAGTTCGCTTCAGCTTGAGGTCACGAACTGATGGCCGGACATTCTCCTTCAGGATTTTTTGGTAGACAGCAGAATTCATGGTTCCATTTATCACAGCAAGTCTTCCAGGTCCTGAAGCAGCAAAACAGGCCGGTGGAACGGGCCGGGCCGGACTGGGGACATGCACTACAGGTCTGGTGCGAGGAGCAGGAATGGGCCGGGCCGGACTGGGGACATGCACTACAGGTCTGGTGCGAGGAGCAGGAACGGGCCGGGCCGGACTGGAGACCCGCACCACAGGTCTGGTGCGAGAAGCAGGAACGGGCCGGGCCGGACTGGGAACACGCACCACTGGCCTGGTGCTGGGAGCAGGTACGGGGCATACCGGGCTGGCAACACGTACTACCGGTTTGGTGCGAGGAGCAGGGACGGGCCGTACTGGACTGGGAACACGCACCACTGGCTTGGTACGGGGAGCAGGTACGGGGCGTACCGGGCTGGTGACACGCACCACTGGTTTGGTGCGAGGAGCAGGGATGGGCCATACCGGACTAGGGACACACACCACAGGGCTGGTGCGAGGAGCAGGAACGGGCCGCGCCGGACTGGGGACACGCACCACTGGCTTGGTGCGGTGAGCAGGTATGGGGCATACCGGGCTGGTCAACAGGCACCACTGGTTTGGTGGGAGGAGCTGGTATGGGCCGTACTGGACTGGATACACACACCAGTGGAGCGGACTGCTCTGGCTCCGGAGTGGAGCCGCTGACCGGAGCTGGACTGGGCACCGGTGGAGCGGACTGCTCTGGCTCCGGAGTGGATCCGCAGACCGGAGCTGGACTGGATCTCGGTGGAGCGGACTGCTCTGGCTCCGGAGTGGATCAACCGACCGGAACTGGATCAGGCACCGGTGGAGTGGATTGCTCTGGCTCCGGAGTGGAGACGCTGACTGGAGCAGGACTGGACCCCGGTGGAGCGGAATGCTCTGACTCCGGAATGGAGCCGCTGACCGGAGCTGGATCGGGCACTGGTGGAGCGGACTGCTCTGGCTCCGGAGTGGAGCAAACTTCCGGACCCGTATCCATCCCCATCTCTGGAGCAGGACTAAACGCTGTGCCCATCCTGGGCACCGATAAAGAGGAAAATTCCAGCCCTGTAATAGGACTGGTTGACGGCCCCAGACTGGGCACCGACACGTTTAGGAGCTCCCTGCAGGGGACCGTCGCTGGAGGTCGGGTGAGATGTGTGGTTGGAGGAGTTGTAGAAACGCCACCTCTCTCCCATCGCTCCAATGTACTCACCATGTGCACCATTGCGCTGCCGAGCGCCTGGATCCTGCTCGCCTGCTGTTGGATACGTTCCTCCAAAGATCCGGACGGACCGACTGTACCTGCTGACTCTATTTTAGGTGCGTGTTTCTGTCCTGGAACGGGCCATGCCGGACTGGGAACAGGCACCACTGGCTTGGTGCAGGGAGCAGGCACGGGCTGTGCCGGACTGGAAACACGCGCCACTGGCTTGGTGCGAGGAGCAGGCACGGACCGTGCCGGACTGGGAACACACACCACTGACTTGGTGCGAGAAACAGACACGGCGCGTACCGGGCTGGGAACTGGCCCCACGAGTTAGGGAACAGAAACTCATTGTCGTCGTCATCCTCCGACTCCCCAGTGTAAAACTGTTCCCATTCCTGTTCCCATGGTCGTAGGGACTCCAACTGGAACCCCACCGGGTGCAGTGGTCGGGGCTCTTCTCTCTCGATCCGCAGGTCTTGGAGGACCTCTAAAATAGCGTCCTCCTCCTCTCTAGTCAGCCCTTTCCCGGCCTCCTGCTGCCTCGTCGTCCACCCTGTGAGCCCCCCCCCCCTCAACATTTTCTTGGGGCTGCTTCTAGGGCTTCCTCTTCTGCCGACTTCATTGATGTCGCCGTTGATCCTCTCTAACCCGGGCTTCCTCTGTCTGTTCCCAAGGATGGCGATCCATCCCAGCCTGGATCTCCTCCCATGTCCAAGATCCCTTACCATCCAGGATCTCCTCCCATGTCCAGGATGTCTGCTTCTGGCCACGCTGCTTGGTCCTCGTTTGGTGGGATCTTCTGTCACGATCGTTGAGAGACGGGTCAGAACAAGGTGCAGCGTGGTATGCGAACATGTTTATTAAACTCAATAAACATAAACAAAACAATAAACAATGTAACGTGAAGTCCTCAGGCTATACACATACAAGCCTAAACACGGAACAAGATCCCACAGCTAATGTCTGAAAAGAAGGTTGACGACATCCGATCCTCGTTTGTTAAGTCTAATGACACTGCTGGTCCTGCTCACACTGCCCTACCCTATGCTTTGACTTCTTTCTCCCCTCTCTCTCCAGATAAAATCTTGCGACTAGTGACTGCAGGCCGCCCAACAACCTGCCCGCTTGACCCCATCCCCTCCTCTCTTCTCCAGACCATCTCCGGTGACCTTCTCCCCTACCTCACCTCGCTGATCAACTCATCCTTGACCGCTGGCTATGTCCCTTCCGTCTTCAAGAGAGCGAGAGTTGCACCCCTTCTCAAAAAACCAACACTCGATCCCACTGATGTCAACAACTACAGACCAGTATCCCTTCTTTCTTTTCTTTCCAAAACTATTGAGCGTGCCGTCTTTAGCCAACTCTCTTGCTATCTCTCTCAGAATGACCTTCTTGATCCCAACCAGTCAGGTTTCAGGACTGGTCATTCAACTGAGACTGCTCTTCTCTGTGTCACGGAGGCTCTCCGCACTGCTAAAGCTAACTCTCTCTCCTCTGCTCTTGTCCTTCTAGACCTGTCTGCTGCCTTTGATACTGTGAACCATCAGATCCTCCTCTCCACCCTCTCCGAGCTGGGCATCTCCGGCGCGGCTCACTCCTGGATTGCGTCCTACCTGACCGGTCGCTCCTACCAAGTGGCGTGGCGAGAAGCTGTCTCCGCACCACGTGCTCTCACCACTGGTGTCCCCCAGGGCTCAGTTCTAGGCCCTCTCCTTTTCTCCCTATACACCAAGTCACTTGGCTCTGTCATATCCTCACATGGCCTCTCCTATCATTGCTACGCTGACGATACACAACTAATCTTCTCCTTTCCCCCTTCTGATAACTAGGTGGCGAATCGCATCTCTGCATGTCTGGGAGACATATCAGTATGGATGACGGATCACCACCTCAAGCTGAACCCTGGCAAGACGGAGCTGCTCTTCCTCCCGGGGAAGGACTGCCCGTTCCATGATCTCGCCATCACGGTTGACAACTCCGTTGTGTCCTCCTCCCAGAGTGCGAAGAGCCTTGGCGTGACCCTGGACAACACCCTGTCGTTCTCCGCTAACATCAAGGCGGTGACCCGATCCTGCAGGTTCATGCTCTACAACATTCGGAGAGTACGACCCTGCCTTACACAGGAAGCGGCACAGGTCCTAATCCAGGCACTTGTCATCTCCCGTCTGGATTACTGCAACTCGCTGTTGGCTGGGCTCTCTGCCTGTGCCATTAAACCCCTACAACTCATCCAGAATGCCGCAGCCCGTCTGGTGTTCAACCTTCCCAAGTTCTCTCACGTCACCCCCCTCCTCCGCACACTCCACTGGCTTCCAGTTGAAGCTCGCATCCGTTACAAGACCATGGTGCTTGCCTATGGAGCAGTGAGGGGAACGGCACCTCCGTACCTTCAGGCTCTGATCAGTCCCTACACCCAAACGAGGGCATTGCGTTCATCCACCTCTGGCCTGCTGGCTCCCCTTCCTCTGCGGAAGCATAGTTCCCGCTCAGCCCAGTCAAAACTGTTCGCTGCTCTGGCACCCCAATGGTGGAACAAGCTCCCTCACGACGCCAGGACAGCGGAGTCACTCACCACCTTCCGGAGGCATTTGAAACCCCACCTCTTTAAGGAATACCTGGGATAGGATAAAGTAATCCTTCAATCCCCCCCCCCCCAAAAAATAAAAATAAAATAAAATGTAAAGTGGTTATCCCACTGGCTATAGGGTGAATGCACCAATTTGTAAGTCGCTCTGGATAAGAGCGTCTGCTAAATGACGTAAATGTGCCCTTGAGCAAGGCACTTAACCCTAATTGCTCCTGTAAGTCGCTCTGGATAAGAGCGTCTGCTAAATGACTAAAATGTAAATGTAAATGTAAGCTAAGGTAGGCAAACAGGCTACTTACGTATGATCCCCAATCAGAGACAACGAGCGACAGCTGCCTCTGATTGGGAATCACACCCGGCCAAACCTAGAAATACACATCTAGAATCTAAACAAAGAAATAATAACATAGATCCTCACGCCCTGACCAAACCAACTAAAGACAACTGGCCTCTCAAGGCCAGGGTGTGACAAATATTCTCAGAGGCAACCCGGAACATATCCCTGTCCGCATGATCAAAACAATCTTGAAGCATGGATTCCGATTCGTCAGACCAGCATTGAACAGTCCTTACCCCGGGTACTTCCTGTTTGAGTTTATGCCTATAAGAAGGAAGGAGCAGGATGGAGGCGTGATCTGATTTGCCCGAAGGAAGGCTGGGAAGGGCCTTGTTGCCGTCCCAGAAAGGAGAGTACTACAGGCAATGTGTTGATAAAACTTCAGTAGCCTTTTCCTCAGATTTGCTTTATTAAAGTCCCCAGCTACAATAAATGTGGCCTGAGGATATGCGGTTTCCAGTTTGCACAAAGTCCAGTGTATTTCCTTGAGAGCCGTTGTGGAATCGGCATGAGGGGGAATATACAGAGCTGTGACGATGACTGAAGAGAATTCTCTCGGGAGGTAATGTGGTCTGCATTTGATTGTGAGGTATTTCAGGTCAGGTGAACAAAATGACTTGAGTTCCTGTACGTTACTACAATCACACCATGAGTAGTTAATCATGAAACATACACCTCCGCCTTTTTTTTTTTTTTTTCCCCCGAAGAGTTCTTTATTCCCATCTGCGTGATGTAATGGAAACCCAGATGGTTGTATGGACGGGGACAGTATATCTGGAGAGAGCCATGATTCCGTGAAACAGAGTATATTACAGTCGCTGATGTCTCTCTGGAAGGAGATCCTCGCCCTGAGCTCGTCTACTTTATTGTCCAGGGACTGAACATTTGCGAGTAAAATACTCAGAAGCGGTGGATGGTATGCACGCCTCCTGTATGTAATACTACAAAGGAAATTCTGAGCTAATAGTGTGAGAAATATCAACAACAAATACTGAAAAGTTGCTTAGGAGCAATGAACAGAGTGACCATGTCTATCTGCGCCATCTTGTCCATTATAGGGAGAGGGAATAGTAAGAGAGAAAGGGGGTGAGAGAGAGAGGGAGATAGGAAGGTGGGAGAGAAAGTGAGAGAGAAAGGCATTAAGGGAGGGTGAATATTGAGATTGAGAGAGCGAGAGAGAGGAAGGAAAGGGAGGGAAACTTGTGTCAACAGAGAGAGAGGAAGTGAGGGATGGAGTGGCCTACTGGTAGACCGATAGATGGGAGAGAAATGCAGAAATGCAGTGGGACAGACAAAAAGTGTAGGCGGGAGAGGGAGGGAGGGAGGGAGGGAGGGAGGGAGGGACAGACAAAAAGTGTAGGCGGGAAAGAGAGGGAGGGAGGGAGGGAGCAGGGGACAGACAAAAAGTGTAGGCGAGAAAGAGAGGGATGGAGGGAGCAAGAAAATGGATAGACAGACAGAGTCAGAGAGAGAGAGATTAGAGGAGGAGAGAAGACAATAGACTGCTCTATAGTGCTGTGTTCCCCACAGGGAATCATCCTACTCTCTCGCTGTGATACAGTTTGACTGACACATGAAGAACCGCAATTAGAGTCAATTCCCTCATTCCACAATCGTTACAGAAACAATTATACCCCAACAATACCTAACTCAACACACACACACAGCTAGAAACACACTCATACACACTCAATAACAGACTTATTTACACATATACACCATAACACATTTCAACAAAACCAAACATATTTTCGCAAATGATCACATGGCCTCATACCATCACACACACACAGACACACAGACGCACACACACACAGACGCACACACACACACACAGAAACACACACACACACACACACAGAGACACACTCACAAACACACAGACAGACACAGTTAGACACACACACACAGACACAAACACACAGACACACACACTGACCGGGGCACTTCCTGTCATTGCAGGAGCGGACCTCCTCTCCAGAGCCGTCACAGGGGTAACCCTGTATCCCTGTCCCCTCACACATCCTGAAGCGACGCTGCCACCCTGAGTCACACGTCTTACTGCACAGACTCCAGTGGTTCCAGCTGCCCCAGTTACCCCCACCTGAAAAGAGAGGAGGGCAGAGGGGGGAGGGGGGAGATAGGAGGAGACATGGATTAATGTAAATCATGACATAACATGCACATACACACATACTGCATATATATGTTGTGTGTGTGTGTGTGTGTGTGTGTGAGTATGCCTGTCTGCTCTCTATGTCAATCAATCAAATGTATTTATAAAGCCCTTTTTACATCAGCAGATGTCACAAAGTGCTATACAGAAACCCAGCCTAAAACCCCAAACAGCAAGCAATGCAGATGTGTGTGTATATCTTTGTCTTACCACCACAGGATGGGTTGGTACACTCCCTGGTCTCCTGGTGTGGTCCCTTACACTCTGCCCAGACTTGAACCGACGCACTACACCTCCTCTGTCTCTGCTGGCTCCCTGTGGAACAGGTTACACTGCACCTAGACCACGGAGCCCAGTCCAACCACTGGCCCTCCACTAGAGACAGAGAAACAGAGAGAGAGAGAGAGACAGAGAGCCAGAGAGAGAGAGAGATAGATAGAGAGACAGAGAGCCAGAGAGAGAGATAGATAGAGAGAGAGAGAGAGAGAGAGAGAGAGAGAGAGAGAGAGAGAGAGAGAGAGAGAGAGAGAGAGAGAGAGAGACAGAGAGAGAGACAGAGAGAGAGCGGGGAGGAGGTAGGTAGGTAGGTAGGTATGGAGAGAGAAAGAGAGGGAGAGAGAGAGGGAGGTAGGTAGAGAGAGAGAGATGTTAATTTATAGAAGCATTTAAAGAGAGACAGAAAGAAAGAGAGAAAGAAAGTACCCTTGTATATATGCAAGACCTAGCTTGTGCTGCAACGAAAAAATCCAGATTTCGAACACTCTTCGTTATGGAACCAATCAGAGTTCCAGCCAGACATGAAAGTGCAAAAGGGCCCACTTTTCAGAAGTACTTTTGCATGGTCGTGCACTTCTATCAAGGTCTTTAGTTTTTTTTTTTTTTGTGGAGTCTGATTTCCCGCCATAGTGCAATGAGGTTTGGAGAGGATTGTGTTTTTCAACCAATTCCATCTGGAGTTTTGGTGGAGGACTTGTGAAGAGAGACTAAATCAAAGAGGAGGACAGCCTTTTAATCAAATTAAAGTAGTGCCAGTCAGACGGCGGATGAATACAGAATACTGAGCAGTCGCACCAAAGCCTGATAACATCCACACACTCCAAAATGAAAGCCTCCACTTTTCTCTTTGATGAATAATCGAGTGGAAAATGACACCACGGGTAGCTGGCCAATATTTCAATGTATTATGTATAAACTACACAAAAACAAGATAGACATTAACACAGATTAACAGATATATTGTACAGTACATTCTAGATATAGAGTTGAAGTCGGAAGTTTACATACACCTTTGCCAAATACATTTAAACTCAGTTTTTCACAATTCCTGACATTTAATCCTAGTAAAAATTCCCTTAGGTCAGTTAGGATCACCACTTTATTTTATTCTTCCTTGCTGAGCGGCCTTTCAGGTTATGTTGATATAGGATGCGTTTTACTGTGGATATAGATACCTTTGTACCTGTTTCCTCCAGCATCTTCACAAGGTCCTTTGCTGTTGTTCTCGCACCAAAGTACGTTCATCTCTAGGAGACAGAACGCGTCTCCTTCCTGAGCGGTATGACTGCTGCGTGGTCCCATGGTGTTTATACTTGCGTACTATTGTTTGTACAGATGAACGTGGTACCTTCAGGCGTTTGAAAATTGCTCCCAAGGATGAACCCCAGACTTGTGGAGGTCTACCATTTTTTTTTCTGAGGTCTTGCCTGATTTCTTTTGATGTTCCATTATGCCAAGCAAAGAGGCACCAAGTTTAAAGGTAGGCCTTGAAATAAATCCACAGGTACACCTCTGATTGACTCAAATGATGTCAATTAGCCTATCAGAAGCTTCTAAAGCAATGACATCATTTTCTGGAATTTTCCAAGCTGTTTAAAGGCACAGTCAACTTAGTATATGTAAACTTCTGACCCACTGGAATTGTGATACAGTGAATTATAAGTGAAATAAAAAATTACTTGCGTCATGCACTAAGTAGATGT